TAGAAATATACCCAAATACAAATGGAAATTAATACAGAAGATAAAAGTTGCCATCTCGAGTCATTATGTATGACTTTTAATAAATGATGCTGAGATTACATATAGCCATTTTGAAAAAAACATGAAACTGAAGAACCATATACCAGAATACACTCCAAATGAAGCAGAGTTCAAATAGGGGACCACAACTATACAATTACTTGAAGAAAATGTGGGTGAATTCCTTAATAATCTCAGAGCAAAAAAAGTTCTAATTCAAAAATTCACAAATTCAACTGTATTTTTTTTAAATGCGAGATAAAACATACAATAAGCAAAGACAAAAGAAAAGTGAAAAACCAAGAGGAAAATCCTTCTACTTATACCACGAAGCACCAATCTCCCTAATATATAAAAAAAAACGTTAAAACTTAAAAAAAAAATACAACAGAGAAATGAGCAAAAGACATGGACAATTCACTGGAGAGTAAAGTGAGGGGCCCTGTACCCATCAGCAATCACTCCCCATTTTCATCCAACCTCTTCATACTCTCCCAGCCCTGGGTAACTACTAATGCACTAAATGTTCTTTTTGTTTCTATAGACTGCCATTCTGCACATTTTATATAAATGGGGAAAATGTCCAAATTTATTCATAATGTAAAAAAAATGTAAATTAAAACTACACTCAAAAATGCAAAAGCTTAACAATATACTCTCTACTTGTGAGGCCATGAAAAACAACTACTCTCATATATCACTGGTAAAACTGGAAAATAATACAAACTCTACGGAGGTCAACTTTGCAAAACCAAAACCACTTATGGTTTTACATTGTACCCAGCAACTGTACTTCCAGAAGTCTTTCCTAAAGATATACCACCATAAAAACTAAACACTGTGTGTACCACATTATTTACTGCAGCATCGTTTGCCACAACAAAATACTGAAAACGATCCAAATGTCCATCAATAGGGAACTGATAGCATAAACAATGATACATCCACCTACACGATGGAATTGTAGAGCTATGAAAAAGAATAAAAAATGAATTGATATGAAGTGATTTCCAAGATATACTGTTAAGAAAAAAAAGGTATAGAAGACTGTACACAGCATGCTACCTGCTGTATAAAAAAGTGAAGAATATGCTTGATAATTTTTATAGCCGGGCGCAGGGCTCACACCTGTAATCCCAGCACTTTGGGAGGCCGAGGCAGGTGGATCATGAGGTCAGGAGTTCAAGACCAGACTGGCCAACATGGTGAAACCCCGTCTCTACTAAAAAATACAAAAATTAGCNCCAATGCCAACATCACATGCCATCACTGACCATTGAAGAGTTGACCCTGCCACTTCACTCCAGGGCTGTCTCCTCCCTCTACTCCAGTGCAGTCTTTGTATGGAGCTGCCATCAGCAGCCTTTGTAAGTGTGGCTGACTTTTGTAAGTGAATGAATGAAAGGAAGGGAGGAGAGGAAAGGGAAGTAGGGAACAGAGGGAGAGAGGGGGTGAGGAAGAAACAGGAAGGAAGGGAAGGAGGAAGAAAGGAGGTCGAATCAGTATTTCAAATACTGAATGCAGGTGTCTGAAGCCTAAGTTATTGTAATTCAAAAATAATAAGGTAAATGTATATTTGTATTTTTAATCAACAAGTTTTTTGGCCTTGAGCTCGTTTGCTGTTTTTTCAATTTTTATATGGAACCAAAATTAGAAGAAAAATTATGGTGGGGGGGAGATTTTCCTGAGATTAAACAGGATTTAGAAGAATAAAGCCAGTTGTTTACAGCCAGTCTAGATAAATATGAGGAAAGTGCCTGAAGAGGAATTAACTATGCTGATGAAAGCCAGAGGTGCAGGAGACAACACTCTCCAGAGAACTGTTGGCGGTTTTGAGTTAATGAATGTTTATCATAACTACTAGGAGATGGAATAAGCCCATAGTAGCTTCATTTTTCTTCCTGGCTGAAGACAGCTGGAGCTGCAAAGAAGTGAGGAGGTAAGGTCTGAATGTTGAGTTTGTAGGTACATCTTAACCACCTTGATTTTTTATGCTGCATTATTAGCAAATTATTTTTACTTGTACTTCACTGAAAGTGGACTTCAACAACATCAAAAGTTGTCTTTAAAGTCTTTCAATAAAAAGTAACACATTTCCTCAATTTGATGGAGATTTTGAATGGCTACTGGGTTAATAAATTCTAGTAAAATGTATGAGTTTTGGGAAGTTGTATTTGATAGATTTGCTATACAATGCTCTCCCGCCCCCTCCCTGCCTTTTAAAAACAATTGCACTTTGTAAAACCATAGTTTATAGTGTTATAAATGGGTCTTACCTCTGTCCATATGCAATCTTGGCAAATTATTAGTGCATGACATAAGAGAGCATCTATGTACAAACGTATACAATTTTTTCTGTGATCCCAGGTACTTTGGGAGACTGAGGTAGCAGAATTGCTTGAACTGGGACCAGGGAGGCAGAGGTTGCAGTGAGCCGAGATCATGCCATTGCAATCCAGCCTGGACTACAGAGCGAGACTCCATCTCAAAAAAAGAAGAGGAGGAGGAGAAGAGATACATTAAAAAATGAATGAAAAGTCACCTATGAAAGGTGGGTGGAAAGGGTGGATATAGGAGTCAGACTTCTCTGACTATTCCTGTTGATATAGTTCTGACTTTTGAACCACAGAAATGCTTTATATATTCAAAATATAAAATAATACATGCAAACACAGAATGTTTTCTCTAACCTAAAACATAAGTGTATTTTAATTGTCAGTGAACTAGGGGTCAAGGCCTTTTGAGCATGAGGCTGTTGATTGGAACTTACTATGGCTTTCTTAGTTAAACCATAACCACAATACATTGTCTAAGAAATCCAGTTTCTGTTTTGTAATGTGAAGTTAGAAATTAAAGATAATCATTGGCTGGGTGTGATGGCTCACACCTGTAATCCCAGCACTTTGGGAGGCCAAGGCCGGTGGATCACTTAAAGTCAGGACTTCGAGACCAGCCTGGCCAACATGGTAAAACTCCATTCTCTACTAAAAATATAAAAATTAGCCAGGTGTGGTGGCATGCACCTATAGTCCTACCTACTTGGGAGGCTGAGGCACAAGAATCACTTGACCTGGGAGGCGGAGGTGGCAATGAGCAAGATTGTGTCACTACACTCCAGCATGGGCGACAGAATGAGACTCTACCCCCAAAAAAAAAAAAAAGATAGATAATCACAGAATAAACTTTGAGCAGTATGATTTTGTTTTCTTCCCTGTCTAGATTCCTATAACTTTTTCCTTAGAGCTTTCAGTTATCTCACTCATTTTTGTTTGTTTTTAAGACACAGAGTCTCTTGCTATCACCATGGCTGAAGTATGGTGGCATGATCATAGCTCACTATAACCCAGAACTCCTGGGCTGAAGCGTTTCTCTTGCCTCAGCCTCTCTGAGTAGCTGGGACTACTGACATGCACCACCACACACAACTAATTTTTAATTTTTTGGGATAGAAATAGGTTCTTATTCTGTTGCCCAGGCTGGTCTCAAACTCCTGGCCTCAGGTGATCCTTCTGCCTCAGCCTAATTTTCTCAGAAGCAAACTGGCATGAACAAGTTTGGGAACACAACTAACTCTTGAAGGGCATCCAACTTGAATGATGAGAGAAGTAAACAAGATCACTAATCACAAGCATTCAGCATACTAACAGTGCCAAGAGTTTACATGTTTTAGAGAGGGGACAGGAATAGTTAGGGAATTTGGCAAATGACTTACATAATGTTTATGGGAGAATTTACTAGAAATAATAGATAATGTTATTAAAGATTTATTCAGATACCAAACATTCATCAAAGACTATCAGCCCTGAGGTGAGTATTGTTATCTCCATTGTACAAATGAAAAAATGGAATCTTAAGAGAGGTTAAGTACTTAATCAAGGTTGTACATTTACTAAGAGATGAGGCTGAAAGTTGAACTAAGGTGGTCTGACCCTAGAGCCCCCAATCAGCTGCTGTATAATAAATGAGACTTATTTTTAAGGCCATGATAGATGACTGGTGAGACCTGCTTTGACATTCCTCCCAGCCGCATTCTTGGCACAGACCTTTGAGCCTATTATCACCCATGTATTATATGTGTTTGTAAGAAAAGAAAATTGACACTGTCTAGACATTTCCCCTATGCTTACTACTTAGTGTTTTTTACTGAAACACATTTCCTGATAAGCCCCCTTCATTCTAACGAGAGCTTCAATTGTACTCACCTCCCTCTATCACTTGTTTATCAAAATGCATGCATCTGCTCTTAACTGACAAAATTAATTATTTCTGATCAGGTTATTGGCAAAGAACATGACCTCAAACACTATCCAATTCTTATCAAAATCTCTGTTATACAAAATAGTATTCATAGAGCATTCTAGTCTAATGTAAACAAACTTTTAAAATTACTTATTGCATTTATTATAGAGATTTTTACCAACAATGTTAAGTTGCAAAGTATCCTTATAGGACTAAATTTCTTATGCAGGAAAATGCAATGCTTTTCCTAAACTTGTTTTGTTTTTTTATTTTACGAATATTAAGACTAATCAAGCTTCCCTCTTTGTTTTAGTTGCTAGAAAACCCAGAATCAAAGTTGACACCAGCATTGGACATGACTTAATGGCATGCATGTTTGTGTCCCAACCTTTGCTTGAGTTTTATATCATGATCTTATCTTTAATTTTCTGATATCCCATTCTCTTTTGCTGTTCTTTTATATATTGTAAAATATATATATTTTTATGAACCAACTCAAATCTTTTTGAAAGGAAGTTGTAGAAAATAAATTAAAAGGTAACTAGAACATTTAGATTGTTATTTTAAAACAATTGTCTCCTTTCCTTCTTCTCTATTCCCACCAGTACTAACCTAGTCAAGGAAAACAGCCAAGATGTTAGGGTATCTCTGATGTTCAGGATTCTATATCTATTTTTTCTCCCTATTTTCACAAACATAATCGTTAAGACAACAGAACTTACCAGATAGACAATATGAAGATCATTCTCTAAAACAAAGCCCTTCATTGCTCTTTGCAGGTCAGCAAAAATATCTAAAGTATCAGCTGGAGAAAGTGAAGAAGAAAGAGTAGCCGAACCAAGATGTGTTGGATGATACACCTTTCCTGGTTTAGGGTTAAGGTGAAAAAAGAGAGGAACATTCAAAATAAAACAAAACAAAATACTATCTTTCTGTATTCCAAAGCTAACCCTCTGGGTGGATAAATTTTACAAATAATACCTTATCCAGTGCATGAAAATGTATGAGCAGGCTCTATGATAATTGTCTGAAGTTGCTAAATACAATACTGATTTACTAAAAATGAGTTAATACACTGCTCAAAAAATCAATTTCCTGTTATACTACATGAAAAGACAATTTCCATTTACTGAGCAGTAATACACTCACTAAAGATGAAAAAGTGAGTAAATTGCAACTGAGAAGTCACACTTACCTTCTGTTCCATCACTGGCTTCTGTAATCTGGATGAATTCATTTTCTAGCAGCCACATGACACAGGCCTCAATTGCTCCAACCTGAACAGACTCTTGATTTCTCTGAATTTCTTGCTTCCCTTCCTTCATACTTGCAGCCAAAAATGTACAGTCAGCATAAGTATGCATATCTTGTGATGTACTTGCCACTCCACCAACTATTATCTGAAAGAAAATATTTGAAAATTTCTGTAACTTTTTACTAAAACATGCAAGCCCTCTGGATATAAAAGAAAGAAAGCGATTCCATTCTCATTGTTTAAAATTTTCTTAGAATGGTTCAGGCACGGTGGCTCACGCCTGTAATCCCAGCACTTTGGGAGACCGAGGCAGGCAGATCACAAGGTCAGGAGTTCAAGACGAGTTTGACCAACATGGTGAAACCCCGTTACTGCTAAAAACACAAAAATTAGCCAGGCGTGGTAGCGTGCATCTGTAATCCCAGTACTCAGGAGGCTGAGGCAGGAGAATCGCCTGAATCTGGGTGGTGGAGGTTGTGGTGAGCCAAGATCATGCCACTGCACTCCAGCCTGGGGTGAACAGAGCGAGACTCCATCTCAAAAAAAAAACAGAAGTTTTTAGAATCTTAATGTAGAGGTCATTTATTAACTATTCCATCACCACTCACTGTAACTGTTGAACACCTAATGACAACAGAAAAGTTTTCCTTAAAGTAGATAAAATATTTTCTTATAAAGAAAAATAAATTAAGCATTAAATCCATCTGAAATTTTAGGTGACAGGGCAAAATTCCACCTCAAAAAAAACCAAAAACATAAAGCACCAGGTGCAGTGGCTCACACCAGTAATCCTAGCACTTTGAGAGACCAAGGCAGGGAGATCACGGGAGGTCGGGAGATCACTGGAGGTCAGGAGTTCAAGACCAGCCTGGCCAACATGGTGAAATCCCGTCTCTACTAAAAGTACAAATATTAGCTGGGGATGGTGGTGTGCACCTGTAATTCCAGCTACTTGGGAGGCTGAGGCAGGAGAATTGCTTGAATCTGGGAGGAGGACGTGGCAGTGAGCTGAGATCATGCCATTGCACTCCAGCCTGGGCAACAGAGTGAGACTCTATCTCAAAAAAACAAACAAACAAAAAAAACAACAAAAAACCCATAAAGTTAAGATTTTCATTTACTAATATTTTACCACTTTAGGCATAAAAGAGCAAATGGTAATTTAGCAACCTCTTTTACCTCCAGAATAGCTCGTATCATGCTGGCCGTCACTTCTTCTCCTTCTCGTCTTTGCAGACAGCTGCAAACAGGCTTTAGAGATCCCTGAAGGAGAGCTATGCCTTTTGATTTCTCAGAGTTCTTACAAATTAAGATACTCTCACCTATAACCGAAAGACATACATTTGCAAAGTCCCAATATAGTTCTGTAAGATATCAGCTAAAGAGATTTTAAGTTGCCTTACTTATTTAAAAGGAGGCAAGAGATGATGGCGGTTGTTATAGTAATAAAATTATGGCTATTTTTATTTCCTGAACTTTGGACAGAAGGGGATCAGAATATGCTACTCCCAAATATGCCACTTTAGCCTAACAATTATTTTGAGCTGAAGGCCACTGGGAAGCAGCAAACACAGAAAGAACTCTGTCCTCTCCCTATCTGCCTAAAAGCAAGAATGAATTTTCCCCTTCCCTCTCCCATACAGGACGACAACCCTTATCGCTGGAGACAGTTCAGCAGAGATGGGTCTGCACAGACAAATTCTACTAAAATAACTTCTATCTTCCATTAGTTCCCCCCATATATTTATCTTCTCATAATCTGTTGACCCTAGAAGCCCAGGTACCTTTTCCTTTTTGTCACTTCTCTACAATTTACTGCCCATTGTTAAAATGTTATATAAAATCCAAGGTTTAACAGTTTCTCAGGTCTTCAATTCTTTTCTATAATGGCTTCCATGAACATAAAAATTTAAATATTAGCATCAAATAAAGTTTATATGCCTTTTCTCCTGTTAATCTTTCTGTTAATTTAATTAGCAGGTCCCAACTGCAGAACCTAAGAAAGTAGAGAAGTCTTTTTCTTCCCTTACAGGATTAACCATTATTGAATAATGAAGTAATTAATAGAGGTACTTTCAAACCTGTAAAATAAAATGCAAATGTAAAGTTTTACTATAGATGACAAAATAAATTCAAAAATACTTGTACATACCTAATATTTCTTACAACATTTACTAATCTAAATGCTTTATTGTGACAATCAAGTGAACAAACATACATGAAAGCACTTATATGTTAAAACCATATGCAACTATATGATTTGAACAAACTATTATTGCAACAATTATGTCTAGAAAGAATCATAACTTTTCTTCAAAAATGAATACAACACAGTGGAAAAGAAAACAGGTAAGATGTTAAAAAAGCCAAATGAAGAACTTTTTTTTTTTTTAATAAAAATAAAACTGGCACAGTGTTGAATGTACTTACTACCCCAAGCAAAGAGAAGGTATAGATCATTCTTTCCAATTGCCAAACTGAGAATCAAGATAGGATAAAGTAAAGGGACTATAAATTTGATGATAACTGCCTATTTATCCCAGAAATGATTATAAAGATAGGCACCATTGAAAAAATGAAACAAGACATCAGCAAGTTGGTGGAATAGGAGGCCTTAGTACCCTCCTCCCAGAAGCTTGAACTAGCTTCTATCTGCAGACAAGAACACCTTTGTGAAAACAAAACTGCCTGGCGTGGTGGCTCATGCCTGTAATCCCAACACCTTGGGAGGCCGAGGCAGGTGGTTCACCTGAGATCAGGAGTTTGAGACCAGCCTGGCCAACACGGTAAAACCCCATCTCTACTAAAAACACAAAAATTAGCTGGACATGGTGGCAGATGCCTGTTATCCCAGCTACTCAGGAGGCTGAGGCAGGAGAATAGCTTGGACCTGGGAGGTGGAGGATGCCGTGAGCCTAGACTAGGCCGTTGCACTCCATCCAGTCTGGGCAACAAGAGCAAAACTCCATCTCAAAAAAAAAAAAAGGGGGCCAGGCACAGTGGCTCACACTTGTAATCCCAGCACTGTCAGAGGCTTAAAGTGGGTGGATCACCTGAGATCAGGAGTTCAAGACCAGCCAGACCAACATGGTGAAACCCTGTCTCTACTAAAAATACAAAATATGCCAGGTATAGTGGCACATACCTGCAATCCCAGCTACTTGGGAGGCCAAAGCAGGACAATCACTTGAACTCAGGAGGCAGAGGCTGCAGTGAGCCGAGATTGTGCCATGCGCTCCACCTGGGCAGCAAGAGCAAAACTCCGTGAAAAAAAACAAATACCAACCAACCGCACCCCAACACCCAAAACTTGGGAATAAGTCCCAAACTTCTGCATGGACTACAAAACCAAATAAAAATTTCAAGATATGCAAGAGAAACTATCTCAATTTGACCACATCATCCCTTCCAGTCCCCTAAGTCAGCATAGTACCACACAGAAAGGAATCCCCAGGGCTCCCAACTTCCACAGTGGAAAAAGAGAACTAGAGGCAAACACATAGCTTCCCTAGCATTCCAAGAGGCTTCTCAAGAAGCCAATTCCAGTCTCACCTCAGAGAACACACCGGGTAACAGCACAGCTAGATCACCTCGGACCACGCAGATGCAAAGCAAGGAGGCAGAGCTCACGGCAGCCAGCATGCCGACCTTGTTGGTAGCTCTGTGTACCTGCCAGCGATGGTGCTCAATCAGAGATACCAGCCAACAGCGTAACCTACCACAAAGCCAAGCTGATCACTTCCAGAAGTGGTAGGGAATTCCACCTGGCTTGAATCTTAAGATAGCCAACCGCCGGGCGCGGTGGCTCAAGCCTGTAATCCCAGCACTTTGGGAGGCCGAGGCGGGAGGATCACGAGGTCAAGAGATCGAGACCATCCTGGTCAACATGGTGAAACCNAAAGGGCCAGGCACAGTGGCTCACTACCTGTAATCCCAGAACTGTGGGGGAGGCTTAAGGTGGGTGGATCACCTGAGATCAGGAGACCAGCCAGACCAACACGGTGAAACCCTGTCTCTACTAAAAATACAAAATAAACCACCAGGTGTAGTGGCACATGCCTGTAATCCGAACAACTTGGGAGGCTAAGGCAGGAGTGAGGCACAGGCTTAACTTGGGAGACAGAGGCTGCAGTGAGCCGAGATTGTGCCATGTACTCTACCTGGGCAACAAGAGCGAAACTCCGTGTCAAAAAACAAAAAACGAGTAACAACCAAACCCTCACTGACTCAAAACTTGGGAATAAGTCCCAAACTTCTGCATGGACCACAAAATCAAATAAAAATTTCAAGATATATAAGAGAAACTATCTCATGTTGACTGCATCACCCCTTGCATTCCCCCAAGTCAGCATAGTACCACACAGAAAGGACTCCCCAGAGCCCCCAGCTTCTACAGTGGAAAAAGAGAACCAGAGGCAAACATATAGCTTCCCTAGCATTCCAAGAGGCTTCCCATGAAGCCAATTCCAGTCTCACCTCACAGAGAACACACTGGGTAACAGCACAGCTAGATCACCTTGGACCAGGCAGAAGCAAAGCAAGGAGGCAGAGCTCACGGTAACCAGCATGCCAACCTTGGTGGTAGCTCTGTGTACCTGCCAGTGGTGGTACCCAATCAGAGATACCAGCCAACAGCGTAGCCCACCACAAAGCAGAGCTGATTACTTCCAGAAGTGGTAGGAAATTCCACCTGGTTTGAATCTTTTGATAGCCAGCCTCCAGGCCCAGCCTCAAAGCTCATGAGGACCCTGCCCAGGAAGGGAGCTGATCATCACAGTGCATTTTAGAAAGAAGCAGGGGAAGTTACCCTAAACCTGGGATTTTAAACAGTGCTCAGTTCAGCCTCAAGGACCTGCCCCAGGTGGAAGATGCCTATCATAGTGTATTTTTGCAAATTGCAGGGACTAGTTCTGTCACAGATGGAATAGCCCTCAGTTCAGTCTCAAAGCCCACTCTAAGGCCCCACCTAGGCAGGGAGGCAAACCTCAGATATGCATTTATTATTATTTTATTTTTAGAGGTGGGAATCTCTGTCACTCACATTGGAGTGTGGTGGCATGATCATAACTCACTGAAGTCTCAAACTCCTGGGCTCAAATGATCCTCCCATCTCAGCCTCCCACGTCTCTGGGATTACAGGCATAAGCCACCATGCTCAATCATGCATTTCGTGAGCACAGCAGCTGGCCACTGGACCAGAACAGCAACTCCACCTAACCACTGGGCCCAGCCTGCAACACTGTTCAAGTGCAGATCTGAAATACGGATACACACTGCGACCCAGCAACTCTGCCTGATTGTAGAGGTCAGTTAGTGGGTTCACCTGATAGCAGGGCCCAGGCAGCAGTCCCATCCAGACTCAGAAAGAAGGCAGCAGCCCAACTATCTACAGAATCCAAATGCAAGCTTTGCCTCCTCAGAGCTGCTACCAGTTGGCCTATTCAGAATCAAAAGCTAGACAAGTGAAGTTCTATCCCTACCAAAGAACACCTATAAAAGCCAAGAGGTAGCTGTCCTCTCAAATGTGCAGATACCAACACAAGAACATAGATTACAAAGAACCAGGAAACCAAGATACCTACGAAAGAAACTAACAAAGCTCCAACAATGAACCCTAAAGAAATGAACATCTGTGAAATGAGAAAGAATCTAGAATAATTCTCTATAAAAAGTCCAATGAACTACAATGATATTTGGATAAAAAATTAAATTTGGAAAACAATACACAACATAAGAAGTTCAACAAAGAAATAGAAACAATAAAAACAAAAGATAAATCCAACAGATGAAGAATACAATGACTGAACTGAAAAATGCAATCAAAGTTTTAGTAGAGGCTCAATCAAGCAGAAGAAAGAGAGACTAGGGAGATGGAGGACGGGGATGGTCAAAGAGTACAGTGTTTCAGTTAGGAAGAATAAATGGTAAGTATTTGGGGGTGATGATATGTTAAAATTGACTTAATTCCATCATTCTGCATTGTATACATATAGCATCACTCTGTACCTCATAAATATATACAATTATAATTTGTCAATATCCAATTTAAAAAATATCACATGACTGTAATACCTGGCTCTTGCAATGGTTACAAAACAGCCCAGCGTAAGAAAAACACAAACACACATATAAGTTACCTAGAAAATGAATCAACTAGCATTAGCAGCAAGGTAATAAGCCACTTTGGGGTGCTTAAAGGTCTTCCAGGCTTTGATTCTTCAACAAAATGAACTAACCTTTTTCTGAATGGGCAGGGTTTATGAAATGTCCAAATGCATGTCAGTATATACATACAGGTTCCTGCAACCACCTGTCTGGGAGGTCTCATCCACATCAAAAGAGGGAGTTGAAATTATTTAGAATCAAACAATTTATTACTGACTGCTGAACTTGCAAATTGCTATTCTGGCACAAAGTACCTTCATCCCACTCTGGAAGCTTCTAAGTAGTCTATGGGAAGACTGAAGTGTTATCTAAATAAAACACCGTGTGCTGTCCAGGAAATATTAATATCACTTATAAAGTGCACAGAATTTACAATGATGCTACACAATGCAAAAAGCATAACCAAGTATTTAAATCTCCATAATCACTATAAAATACTATATTCCTACATTCCTCACTAGCTTGAAATTATGAGCAAGTCATATGGCATCCTGAAATGCAATGAGATGCAAGGTTAAAAGCTTGGAAGTCTTTAAGGCCTCAGAAATGAACTAATTACAATATATTTTAGTTCTGCATGAATGTTGTGATTTAAGACTTGATAATTAGCCCAGGACACTGACTTTCCAATTGTTCTTTCCCATAATAAACACAAGCTAAGAACACAGCAAAGCAAATAAGATCTTATTTATCTTATTTCTCCTTATCTTCTACATTATCTAAAAGACCCTCTGTCCCTGAGAGAAGAATATCTGTTTAAAATGAACTTATACTCCATTCCCCAGAGTGTGAGTCCACTGAGAATTGGGGATGGGCAGAGGTAGGCAAATAGAAATGGGAAGGAAGAGTCTCACCCTCTTCCCTCAACCCTTCTTAAGCATGTACATGTCATCTGCATATTTTGTAGGTAAAGTAAGAGAGAAACAGGATAAACTGCTCTGATGTCAGTTGTAGGAAAAATCTAACAAAATAGAATTTTTTTAAAAAAAATCATCAACATTTCCGGGGCTTAAAAGAAAGGCAGGCCAATGCCCTTCGGGGATTATAAATGGGTCATTTATTACTGGGGCTGAGACTGAAAGCTGTTCCAATAGCCATCAGTGTCTTCTTTCTTCCTTATTAGTTGGGTGCACGGCCACCTGGGCTAAAGATTGTATTTCCCAGCCTCTCATACAGTTGGGGAATGTAACCATGTGAAAGAGTGGCCTTAAAAGGCAGGACATGCTCTTTGCTTCCTCATCTCCACTTCCTGAGGGCTGAAATGCAGATGTGCTGAGAGAGACTGGACTAGCCAACTTATACTGAGGATAGAAATTATATTGCTGAAAATGTTAAAACAAAATAGAAGACTAGGTCCCTGACACACTACAGCCATGATATAAGGCCTAGATTACCTACAATTTTGCTGTTACATGAGAAAGAAATTAACTTCTATCTTGTTAAACACCTATTGTATTAGTTTTTGTTACAGCAGTGAATTTATATTCTAACTAACCCAGTTACCAATAAATTATGATCAATGTTTGGTATTTGTGGTAGTCACGTTCTATAAAGTTGCCATGAACACAGAATACTGATTTTTCTGCCAAGGAAAATAGATGATTAGTTTTCTGCAAGTCTCTAGTAAAAACATTTTCATCACTTAATCAATACAAAATCTTGTTTCATGCATGTTTTTGTCTAAAGACATCTTATTTAATATACATAGTTGTTTATGTTGAGCTCCAGCTAACAGCATTATAATTCATGCCTAAAGAGAGCTTATCACATATTTTCTCCATAAGGCACAGCACAGCCTTAATGCACTAGGAACATTAGACAGCATTTCATATTTTGCTTGGGGGGTCATGTTAACAGGGAAATCATCGGCTAAAAGCACAAAAATGTGGCACTAACTAGCCCATTAAAAGCAAGCTTGTTCACAGTATAAGAGCTGAATCAAGAAGGCAGAGCTTTGGCTTGTTCAACCGTAACAGGGAAAGTGTGCTTGGAAAGACTCCAGTTTTTCACAGATCTGCACATGCCCGCAAAAGCCCCAGAGGAATTAATTTCGGGATTCTGAATAAATTCTGTTAAGTGGGAAAATTCGAATATGGAATCCACGAATAATGATAATTGGCATATTTGGGGACTTCATGTGACAAGTCAGTTTATTCTAAAAGTTACTTCCTCAGTGTACTACCCAGCCTCCTGTGCCCAGAATATCCATTTCCCATCCACTTTCCTTATTCTCCTGGATTACCTAATTTCTCTTCAATAGCCACAAAATTGTTTGCCTGTTGTTTTTTTTTCTGATATACCTAATAAAACACTGGTGTCAATTATGTCCTAGAATAGAAAAATGAAGTGACAGGGAATGTTCCTTCCAAGGTTGTTTAATGTTAGATGGCTAATAATGAGTTAGTTACAAATATAATGATACAGCATATTAGAAATAAAATTTGCTGCCGTTTCGACATTTAATTCAAACAAACCTCTTCCTCACTGCTTAAGATAAAACTTTTGTTTGGATTGCCAGCAATATAACCATAACTTGCTGGTACAAGGTAAGAAAATGAAAAGGTGTTTTTTCAGAGCCAGTACCAATTTAGAGAAAAAAGATGGGATGCCAAGTTCCTATTCCCAAAGTGTGAGGGTGCTTCCCAGCATCCTTGTCTGATTTCTAAGACTAGTCACCTAAGTTGAACTAACCTCTGTGAAAAGTAATTAGTGCTAAAGAATAGACTATACTTGGAAATTAAAAATCATCTTCCAGCTAAGTAATAAGAAGTCATCTTGATTTACATAATACTAAATCATTTTATTGTATAGAATACAAAAGAAAATCTTAACATTTGTAGAAAATCAACAGTTGATGATATATGAAAATTATAACTCATACTCACTGTAAATATTAAGTAAATCCAAAATGATGACATCAGTGCATTGGATAATAAAGAAATACAGCATGATGAGAAACAGGTTGCCAGGCACCAGTCAAATTCCAAGTAGACACTGTCCTTTAGCAATGCTGCTACAATTAAATTGAAACTCACTTACCTATGGTATCTACTCCTTTCCTGCCAGCACGACCAACCATCTGCTTATAAGTAAGAATATCTAGAGGTCGACCACCAAAAATAGGAGTTCGAATAATCACACGACGTGCAGGTAAATTCACCCCAGAAGAAAGAGTAGAAGTTGCTGCCAAGACCCGAATGAGACCTTGACGAAAGGCTCCTTCAATGATATCCCTCTCCTCAAAAGTAAGACCTAAAAAAAGGTTTTCATGTATTTACAGATATATAACGAAAATATTGTTCTTGATCATTCACAAATGGATTTGAGAGTCTGCTTCAAGCCTCTAAAGATTTTTGAAACTATTGTTATGACTGTTGACAAAGGAGTCATCACAAGTCTACCTCTTTAAGAGTATAATCTGGCTGCATGTGGTGGCTCACGTCTGTAATCCCAGCACGTTGGGACGCCGAGCCAGGTGGATCACTTGAGGTTAGAAGTTCGAGGCCAGCCTGGCCAACATGGTGAAACCCCTTCTCTACTAAAAGTATAAAAAATTAGCTGGGCATGGTTGTGGGTGCCTGTAATCCCAGCTAAATGGGAGGCTAAGGCAGGATAATCACTTGAACCTGGGAAGTGGAGGCTGCAGTGAGCTGAGATCACACCTCAGTACTCCAGCCTGGGCAACACAGCAAGACTCAGTCTCAAACAATAACAACAACAGAGTATAATCTGCTGTCCCTAGTATATCTCTATCTTATTTTATAGACCAGGGAGTCTACAAACTTCTCTGTTCCTATGGAAAAGCAGGTCTCTGCTGCAACTATTCAACCCTGCCACTATGACATGAAAGCAGCAACAGAACAAATGGGCATGGATGTGTTCCAATAAAACTATTTACAAAAACATATGGTAGGATAGACTTGACCAGCAGACTACAACTTGCCAACTGCTTTTCTAGACAACAAACTCCTTGTCAATAGGACTATGCCTTATTCATCGATATATCTTCAGGGCCTATGCATCACAGTGATCAGGTACATTTCTGACATAAATATGTGTGAATAAAAACATGAGCAAACGAAAAACAGTGCACAGAATATATATGTATCTGGTTCATTTTCAATTTTATTTAAAAATTAAAAGGGCTGGGGTTCTAGTTTTAAAATTAAGTGGTGGGTACACAGTTGTTCACTTTTTGAGTATGCATCATAAGTTACATACAATGTAAATTTCATGTGTGTGTATAAATAGTAGTTTCCCCTCATCTGTGGTTTTGCTTTCCACAGTTTTAGCTACCCAAAGTCAAAAATATAAAGAGGAAAATTCCAGAAATAAGCAACTCATAAGTTTTAAATTGCATGCTGTACCACCCAGGACATGAATTATCCCTTTATTCAGTGTATCCATGCTGTATACACTACCTGCACTATACAATGTGACTATATAGGAAAGAATGTAGTATATAGAGGGTTTGGTACTATCGGTGGTTTCAAACATCCCCTGAGGATATTGGAACATATTCCCCACAAAGAAGGACTACTATATACCAGTTACATAAATATATATACCCCCATACACACACACATTTCAAATGCATTTAAAACTTTTAACATGTTATGAAAAAACATATGTAGGGTTGGTACTATCCACTGGTGGTCTTCAGTGGACAAGGAGAGACTACTATATACAAATAAGTAAACTGAAACATGTTCATTTTACTCTTGTTTAATCTATCACACAATTTCACTCTGTCCCCGAGGCTGGAGTGCAGTGGCATGATCTCAACTCACTGCAACCTCCGCCTCCCAGGTTCAAGCAATTCTTCCTGCTTCAGCCTCTCGAGGAGCTGGAATTACAGGTGCCTGCCACAACACCTGGCTAATTTTTCTATTTTTAGTAGAGACAGGGTTTCGCCATGTTGGCCAGGCTGGTCTTGAACTCCTGACCTCAGGTGACCAACTTGCTTTGGCCTCCAAAAGTGCTGGGATCACAGGCATGAGCCACCACACCCAGCCCACACAATTACTTTTTTTACCCTGTCTCCCAGGCTGGAGTGCAGTGGTGCCACATCTGGCCCACAAAATTTCTTAAAAAGAAATCTAAGGATATTAAGTGTGTTTAACAAGAAATAAATGTACACAAATATAAAAGTTAAGACAGTAGGAAGAATTTTGGAGGTTTCTTAATAGATTATAAACGTGAAATACCTGCATGATGAAATGCTACTCCCCATGGTACAGTTTTCTGTAATACAGAGTCCAGTCCTGAAGGCGAACGTCTTAACTGATCCATCACTTCCAATAGGTCTTTTTGTTCTGGAATTACTGGTGGGAATTCTGAGGATTTCACCAATCCTGTCACAAAAAAATTATCAACACTGTTCACTTCTAGCTCAGCCTCTTTAAGTGGTATCTGTCTAAATCATAATAGAGTTTAATAACAGGAAAATGGTTCTGAAACTGCTATATACTATAGTTCCCTGGAGATCCTTTAAAAATACTGATGCCTGGTTCTTAATTCTGGATATTGTTGTATAATTGGTGTGGGATGTGACCTGCGCATGAAGGATTTTTAAATCTCCCCAGGCAATTCTAAGGTGCACCAAAGTCTAGGAAACTCTAAGAGTAAGACCAAGCCCACAGGCAATGAATCAAAGGAAACTGCTGAAGGAAGTACAATATCATGGATACTGATTACCACTCAAAGCCCTAAAATCAACATCCGTGCTCAAGGTGTATACCACCAACCAGCAGTACCAACATCAGAGGGTTTCACCAATCCTGTCACAAAAAAGCCTCCTTCTCTGTGAAATTATTCTAGCCTCTTTTGCACTAATCTGGTAGTTAATTACATACTACCCTCTTCTTTTGTCCCTATATGTAAACTTCTCCCCCAGTAAGAGCTTAACATTGTTTTGAGACAGGGTCTCACTCTGTCACCCAGGCAGAATCACGTGTGTGTACAATGGCACAATCATGGCTCACAGCAGTCTCGACTTCCTGGGCTCAAGCAATCCTCCCACCTCAGTCTCCTGGTTAGCTAGGACCAGACACACATGCCACTATGCCCAGCTAGTTTTTTTTTTTTTTTTTTTTTGACTTGTAGAGATACGATCTCTTATATTACCCAGGCTGGTCTGAAACTCCTGGGCTTAAGCAATCTTCCCACCTTGGCCTCCCAAAGTGCTGAGATTACAGGCATGAGCCACCACCCAGCCTTAACTTTCTTAAATGGAGTAAAAGCTTTACATACTTATATGCTGTGTTTAAAAACTTCCTAGACTTCTGAATTTTTGAACTTGTAAAAGTTTTCATAAAAAGTAAATATATGGCTGGGCATGGTGGTTCATACCTGTAATCCCAGCACTTTGGGAGGCCAAAGTGGGCAGATCACTTGAATCCAGGAGTTTGAGACCAGCCTGGCAAATGTGGCAAAATCCCATCTCTTAAAAAAAAATAAAAACAAATTAGCCAGGCATGGTGGCATGCACCTATACTCCCAGCTACTCAGGAGGCTGATGTGGTATGATCACTTGAGCCCATGAGGTTAGAGATTGTAGTAAGCTGAAATCGTGCCACTGCATCCCATCCTGGACAACAAAGCAAGACCCTGTCTCAAAAAGAGAACAAAAGAAAATAAATAAAAGTATGTTTTTGAATTATGTGTCAGTGGAAAATAATAGAAATATATATAAATATATATGACAAACAAAAACATGAGTAAATCAAAAACAGTGTATACACTTATCTGGCTCATTTTCAATTTTATTTAAAAAATTAAAAGGGCTGGGGTTCTAGTTTTAAATTAAGTGGTGGGTACACAGGTGTTCATTTTTTTAGTATGCATCATAAGTTATATACAATGTAAATTTTGCGTGTGTGTATATATCAGTTTCTCCACCATCTAGGATATGTTGGGCAGGCTGTTCTCAAACTCCTGACCTCGTGATCTGCCCGCCTCAGCCTCCCAAAGTGCTGGGATTACCAGCATGAGCCACCACATCTGGCTGGTGTGTGTGATTCTTTTCAGGTACACATTCCTTTGGAAATATAAAGATATGGTTATTTTCCCGAAAGAAATGTCTACATGTGAAGTTTTGCATACAATTTAGGGGCTCCAAAGTTCAAACTCTCAAAGTCCATGGATCCTGGATAAAGAACTTTAGTATATATCCAGTATTCTAAAAATCTAAAGTCAATTAATCTAATTGTGTGTGTGTGTATGTGTGTTTACCTAGTCTACACTAAGGATGGAATATGGTTAGAATCTACCCATCTGACAAAGGGCTACTAACCAGAATCTACAAAGAACTTAAATTTACAAGAAAAAAAAACAACGCCATCAAAAAGTGGTGAAGGATATGAAGACACTGCTCAAAAGAAGACATTTATGCAGCCAACAAACATAGGAAAAAAAGCTCATCATCATCTGTCATTAGAGAAATGCAAATCAAAACCACATTGAGATACCATCTCATGCCAGTTAGAATGGCGATCATTAAAAAATCAGGAGACAGTAGATGCTGGACAGGATGTGGAGAAAGAGGAACACTTTTTTTTTTTTTTTTTTTTGAGACGGAGTTTCGCTCTTGTTACAGGCTGGAGTGCAATGGCGCGATCTCGGCTCACCGCAACCTCCGCCTCCTGGGTTCAGGCAATTCTCCTGCCTCAGCCTCCTGAGTAGCTGGGATTACAGACACGCGCCACCATGCCCAGCTGATTTTTTGTATTTTTTAGTAGAGACGGGGTTTCACCATGTTGACCAGGATGGTCTTGATCTCTTGACCTCGTGATCCACCCGCCTCGGCCTCCCAAAGTGCTGGGATTACAGGCTTGAGCCACCACGCCCGGCCTAAGAGGAACACTTTTACATTGTTGGTCAGAGTGTAAATTAGTTCAACCATTGTGGAAGACAGTGTAGCAATTCCTCAAGGACCTAGAAATAGATATACCATTTGACCCAGTAATCCCATTACTGGGTATATACCCAAAGGAGAATAAAACATTCTATTATAATGACACATGCACAGGTATGTTTACTGCGCCACTGTTTACAATAGCAAAGACTTGGAACCAACCCAAACACCTATCAATGATAGACTGGATAAAGAAAATGTGGTACATACACACCATGGAATACTATGCAGCCATAAAAAAAGATGAGTTCATGTCCTTTGCAGGGACGTGGATGAAGCTGGAAACCATAATTCTCGGCAAACTGACACAAGAACAGAAAACCAAACACTGCATGTTGTCACTCATAAGTGAGTGTTGAACAATGAGAACACATGGACACAGGGAGGGGATCATTACACAGTGGGGCCTGTTGGGGGCTAGGAGGGATAGGGGAGGGATAGCAGCGGGTGGGGGAATTGGGAAGGGATAACAGGAGAAACACCTAATGTAGATGACGAGGGGATGGATGCAGCAAACCACCATGGCACGTGTATACCTATGTAACAAACCTGCACATTCTGCACATGTACCCCAGAACTTAAAGTATAATAATAAAAAATAACTAAAAAAATTAAAATCTCAAAACACAGTTTGGTAAAAAGAGTACTACCTAGTGGGCAGGCAGTGGCAATGATGAACAAAAACCATGTTTTTGCTAACATAATCACTACCATTACTTTCAAGCAAATTTACTAAACATGAAGGCTCTCCTTTCCGTCCATAACTCACCCTCAGCTTGATGATGCAGATTATAAAACTCACGAGCAATAATATCTGCCAGCTTCTCACACCATTTCTTTGATGGACAAAAAAGTAATACTGAATGGTTATCACGAATTGTCTCATAACATAAACTAACAACATGGTCCTCATCTCCCTAAAAAGGAAAGATAAATAACCACTTCAGTGGTACTGTCAACAGATTCTCACGTCAGTTTAAAAGCACTCATTTTCCTTTCTGGGAAGCTGTTTCTTCTAGAAGGCATAATAAAAATCAGTTACAAAGTCAATAACAAAAGAAAAAAAGAAGAAAAAAAAATGAACTCCTTATGATGCAAGTGAAAGTAACACTTTCTATTCATTCAACTAATATTTATTGATCTCCAACCCTCAGGCAATGGGGATACGAAACTGAGTAAAAAGAAAGTCAAGATCCTAGTAGTCTAGGGGGTTCTAGTCTCACAGAGAGACACATTAAACTACAGATGTCCCAACTTAAAATGGTTGGACTTTACCATTCTTTAAATTTTACAATGGTGCAAAAGCAGTATGCATTCAATAGAAACCATATTTTGAGTGCTTATACAACTCTTCTATTTTTCACTTTCAGCACAGTATTTATTAAATTACAAGATATTAAACACTTTATTATAAGACAGGCTTTGTGCTAGATGATTTTGCCAAACTATAGGCTAATGTAAATGTTGTGAGCACATTTAAGGAAGGCTATTCAGTAAATTAGATGTATTAAATACATGTTCAACTTACAATGAGTTTATCAGGATATAACTCCATCATAAGTCAAAGACAATTTGTACTAAATAAATATAAAACACGATAATGTATACTATTAAAAGAGTTTTGCCAGGCGCGGTGTCTCACGTCTGTAATCTCAGCACTTTGGGAGGCCAAGGTAGGCAGATCACGAGGTCAGGAGTTCGAGACCAGCCTGGCCGACATAGTAAAACCCCGTCTCTACTAAAAATACAAAAAATTAGCCGGGTGTGGTGGTGCACACCTGTAAACCCAGCTACTTGGCAGACTGAGGCAGGAGAATTGCTTGAACCCAGGAGACGGAGACTGTAGTGAGCGGAGATCGTGGCATTGCACTCAAGCCTGGGTGACAAAGCAACACTCATCTCGAAAAAAAATAAATAAATAAAGGAGGGGTGGCCCTGCAAATCATCCATACTGGAAGTATGTCAATGTATTTATTAATAACTGGATTAATTCATCCATCTACTCACCCATTAAACAAATATTTACTATATGTCAAATACTGATTTAGGTACTGGGAATGGAGCAGCCAACAAAGCCCAAAAAAAGTTCCACCCTCATGTTCTACTCCAGTAGGAAGAGACAAATAATAACAAAAACGAGGTAAGTAAAACACATAGTATGTCTGGTTTCGAAAAGTGCTAAGGGAAAAGAAATAGAGATCGTGTAAGGGAGAGCACTCTAATTTAGACAAGGTGGCCAGGGAAGGTCTGGGACAGTGACATTTCAGTAAAGGTCTAAAGGCGAAAGAGGAAACCACACTGATGACCCTAAGGGGAAAGCATTCTAGAAAAAGAGAAGCTGAGGTAAGAAATTCTTGGAATATTTAAAAAAAACAGCAAAGAGGCCAGTGTAAATAAAGGAAGTGACAGGGACCGTAGTAGATAGAGTCAGAGCACTAAGAGGGGCGGGGGGTGTAGATCACATAGGGCCTCATAGACTACTATGAAGACACTGGCTTTTATTCTAAATGAAACAGAAAACTATTTCAAGTTTCTGAGAAGAAGGATAACACGATCTGATGCTCATTTTAAATAGATCACTAGCTCCTGATGTAAGCATACAATGAAAGGGATGTAAGCATACAATGAAAGGGACAAGGTCAGAAGCAGAGAGAACAATTAGGAAATGTTTCAATAATCCAGGTAAGAAGTGTTAAGTGGTTCAAAAGGGTAGAGGCACAGACATGGTAAAAGAAGAAAAAAATTAACGCAAGAGTAAATGAATGTTCACACATAAATGTATTGAAGTAACCAAGGCATAGCCAGGTGAAATACAGGCATAGAGCAAAGCAAGTAAGATTTAACAGCAAGCAAGCAGAAGCTACAAATGCGTACCTAGGAAGTTGGTGAAACATACAAATTTAGTCCCATTCCCAGTTCTGAAATGACCCTTACCTGTTTCAGTACTCAGAGGCACATCTCTGCATAAAAACAGCAGATGCCTCTCTCCACCAATGTAAATAAGTCAGTTCTTTAACCTCAGGATTGAAGTGTATTTGGGACTATGGGAGGGTACTCATTTACCAAGCACTTTCTAAATGCCAGATAACTTTTAAAAATCACATTTAATTCTCACAATATTCAAAATAAGTATTATAATATCCTATTCTACAGGTGAAGATATGAGATTCACATAGGTTTTGTGATTTAACCAATATCATAGCCATATCAACTATCTCTATCAGACGTAGATAGATCAGACTGCAAAAAATAATATTCTTTTCACTCCACTATTATACCTACCATTTAACAAAAAGTTGATCTTCCACACTAGCAGTTAGTGTAAACTAAACCATAAGAAAATCTTTTCCTAGTAAAAAGAAAAAGCTACAAAATCAGTTATTTTTTAAAAATGTGTATATAATACATAAGGAGACATTTATTTATTTAAATTAAAGGTACAACTACATTTCCTCTCTTACCACCACCACCCATATTTTTCTTTTTTTCTCAGATGGACTCTCACTCTGTTGCCCGGGCTGAAGCACAGTGGCATGATCTCAGCTTACTGCAGCCTCTGCCTCCTATGTTCGTTCAAGCAATTCTCCTGCCTCAGCCTCCCAAGAAGCTGGGATTACAGGTGCCTATCACCACACCCAGCTAATTTTTATATTTTTAGTAGGGACAGGGTTTCAGCATGTTGGCCAGGATGGTCGTCTCGAACACCTGATCTCAAGTGATCCACCTGTCTCGGCCTCCCAAGGTGTTGGGATTACAGACGTCAGCCACCACGCCCAGCTTACCACCAATTTTTTAAGAGAAAATTAATTAGCTTAATATTAATCCTAATGAATATGTAACTCCTAATTACATAATTCAGAAATTGTTAACAATTTTCTAGAAAATGAAATCAAACACACAGATACTAATAGTAGTGATATAAATAAATAGATTTACCTTCACTGGTAGCATGGGTTCAAATTCCCTCACAAGTTTCATTGAAGAGTCATATATGGAATTTCCAACTTTTACTGACTCCAAAAGCGGTACAGGACGAAAGTCAGTTTGGTAGAGTTCAGCATTCAACCAGGAAGCCACAAGCTCCAAATTAGGAAGGGTAGCACTCATGCCAACAATTTGCACAGCATTAGGCAGACAACTGGCTAAATCTGCCTGACTGTAAAAAACAAATGAAAAGAACATTAAAAGATATATACTAAGTTAACAATTAGTGTTGCTAACAATATCCTTGATTATGGCCTTTGGTACACACATACGTACATTTCTTTAGAGTATATACCTAAGAATAAAACTACTGAGTCACAGATTACTGAGTCACAGATTATCTTCTATTTTAATAGAATAACGCCACATTGTTTTCCAAAGTAACACCTCTACAATCTATGTGTTTTCTGTTTTTCCACAATCTTATCACCACTTGGTATTGTCAATCTTTTTAATGTTAGTAGTTATACAGATTATGTGGTAGTATTTCTTTGAAGAAGTAATTCACAGTTCCCTGATAGCCGATGGTACTAAGCATCACTTCATGTGTCTGAACCATGTGGATACCCTGTTTCAACAGCCTGTTTTTTTGGCCACTGATACAGTAGGTTGTGTTTTTCTTGTTCATTTGTAGAATTTTTAAATGTCTGGATAGTGACTTTCTTCTTTCATTTTTGGCTCTGTTTTTATCATTTTATCAAGCTTTCTGTTGCATTATTTTACCTTTTTTTTGAGACAGGCTGGAGTGCAATGAGGCATGATCTCGGCTCACGGTAACCTCCATCTCCAGGGTTCAAGTGATTCTTATGCCACCTGAGTAGCTGAGATTGCAGCATGCATCACCACACCCAGACAAACTTTGTATTTTTAATAGAGACAGGGTTTTGACATGTTGGCCAGGCTCATCTCAAACTCCTGGCCTCAAGTAATCTGCCTGCCTTGGCCTCCCCAAGTGCTGGGACTACAGGCATGAGGCACCCTGCTTGGCCTCTTTTCTAAGTTATTGGGATGGATAATTAAATAATTGGTTCTCAGTCTCTCTTCGTTAATAATATGAACATTTTTTACCATCAATTTCCTTTAAAAAAAAAAAAAACTTTTGCTACCCTTCACAGGTTTTGCTGAGACATTTTTATTATACTTTTAGTTCAAACTATTTTCTACTTTCTGTTGTGATTACAGGCATCTATAATCCCAGCTACTCGGGAGACTGAGGCAGCAGAATCGCTTCAACCCAGGAGGGGTAAGTTTCAGTGAGCCGAGATTGCTCCACCTCACTCCAGCCTGGGCGAAAGTGGAAAAAAAAAAAATTAAATTTAAAAAAAAGAGAAAAAGAGCAAAGTTCATCTCAAAAAGAAAAAAAAAAAGAAAAAAAAGAATTATGAGGCATTTTCAGACATGCAAGTTCTCAAAAACGTTATACCTATGTGTGTTTACTGAAATAACATAGAAGTTCCTGGAAGATATTCCCACCAAAATGAGAAGGTAAATTAACACAGACATGTGGTCAAAAAATGGACAGGGGAAGGGAATCCCAAGATGATTGCTATGTAGCACATATATAGATTAACCACTTATCTAGATTGGAACAACTTGAAGGGCTTTAAGAAAATCTTAAAGAAGATGACTGGTAGAATAGCAAATGTGGTAGAATACACAACTAGGGAATAGGCTAGGGATACATTAGCCATAAGAATACGGAAAACCAAGCCATCAAACAAAAAAGACAGTTATTAATTTCAGAGAAAACCAAAAGTTGTTTAGAAAAGCAAAAGTAATCACATTATGCTATAGTCCAGTTACCAATGTCATTTATATAGTCACAATAGTGTAACACTGAATAATCATCTAATTATAACCTAACTCTATTTGAAGAATGGGAAGATGATGAGAGGATAAGGAGACTGCAGAGAAGGAGGGAAAAGATTGGGTAGCGGTGAGTAAAGAATTTAAAAGAAAGTGAGATCTTCATTTTTCATAGTAAAAGTCAGTATATAAAGTGTAAAATTAAAAAATTAAGTAGCCACAGTTAGAGATGCTGCTGTAAACATTTTTAAAAAGCTAGAAGTGTTGAAAGATAGTTCCCTCTGAGAAGTGAGGTCTAAAAAAATACTGTTTTTCAAAATTAGCCTGACTACTTAAATTATATATACAAATGACAAATACAGAGCCTGAATTTCTAGAAATCTGTAACAAAAATGTATACACTAAAAGGGTGAGCAGTCAGAAAATTAAGAATGTTTACAAAGTAATCTAAAATCAGTTTTAATCTGAAATACTTTTCCTGTGGTTGTTAGAGACATGGTCTTGCCCTGTTGTCCAGGCTAGAGTAAAGTGGCACAATCATACCTCATTGCAGCCTGAAACTCTTGGGCTCAAGTAATCCTCCTGCCTCAGCTTCCTGAAAAGCTGGGACTACAGGTATGTGCAATGATGCCCAGCTAATTTTTTTATTATTTATAGAAATGGGGTCTCACTGTGTTGCCCAGGCTGGTCTGGAACTTAGGCTCAAGTGATCCTCCCACCTCAGCCTTCCAAAGTGCTGGGATTACAGGTGTAAGCCACCATGCCTGGACTGACTTCTTCTGGAACAAAAACAAACTACATTACATGAGTTTTTCTGAATGTGAAAAATATTACATTCCTTTAATTTATTTAACTCATACTTTTTCAGATTCTTTCTCAACGTGGTTTGAAATCTCAGGAACTTTGTTGTTTCAAATACTCACGAAGATGCTGTTTTCCGAGTAATATAGCAAATCTTGGTCAGCAAAAGTTCCAGCAGATACCCTCGGTGAGAGTCTCCCAGCATATGTAATTCATCCACAACAACCATTCCTAAAAAGATTTTCCAGATACTACGTTTTTACAGAATCTCACATCCACATAATTTTTTCCAACTTTTATTTTACTCTATTTTATTTCCTTTATATCAACTTTTATTTTAGATTCGGGGGTACATGTACAGGTTTGTTACTTGGATATTTTGTGTGATGCTAAGGTCGGGAGTACAAATGATCCCATCACTCAGGTACTTAGCAATAGTACCCTATCATTAGTTAGTTAGTTTTTCAACCTTTGTTTCCCTCTAGTAGTCCCCAGTTTCTGTTGTTGCCATCTTTATGTCCATGAATACTCAAAGTTTAGTTCTCACTTACAAGTGAGAACATGTAGTACTCAGTTTTCTGTTCCTGCATTAATTGGCTTAGGATAATGGCTCCAGCTGCATCCATATTGCTTTACTACAAAGGACATGATTTCATTCTTTTTATGACTGTGCCAAGAAGAAATTTAAAGGATTCAGTATCTTATACTGCACAGTAAGTAGCTGTCATTATAATACATTGCAAGTGATGCAAACTTCAAACAATAAAGCAAAAACCAGATTCCTCATAATGGGCAATTCTGTTCCAAGATGTTTCAGGTATTACAGGCAGTCCTACTACAAGGTATTCTGGATCTAAAATCAATTATTACTCGGGGCTAACCAAACCCAGGGAAAACTGCCTCTTATTACTCTTCTCAATTGCCAACTTCACTGAAATAAACATACAATGACATATCAAAGACATCTATGGCAGTTAGTCAGTGTATTGACTTTTCAGTGGGAAAACAGACATACTCATGTTAGAAAGCAGCTTAGGAAAAACAGAATAGACTCCAGAAGAAAAAGATAATTTTAAGAGATTTTTTATTTTTTAATACGGTAGGCTAGTGAGTCACCCTACTGCAAAACATAAATATGATTATGATGTCCTTCACTACCTGGAGAATTTAACCAATGTATATACTTGGAATAATTCTTAAGAATTACTGAAAATTCAGGATCAACCAATACTTTCTTTAAACATTTTCATAACAACATAGTTTCCCCCACCCCAAATTCTCCCCACCAAAAGACAACTTTCTGGTGAAAAGGAATTTGAGGAGACAACAGACAACTTCCTAAAGAAACATAATGATATTCTTTTTCCTAGCAGTAAGCTATCTCCAAAATTATACTATCTGAGGAGTTATTTCAACACTTACTCATTTCTTAAAAAAAAAAAAAAAACTATTCTGCCTACTATGTACCAGCCACTGTGCTGGGTACATTGGAAATAGCACTTTCTAGGGGTGTATTGCAACTCTCAAAATAATTAAAGTCCAATGGAGTCACAAGTGATAAAATAATTCTGATACAAATCAATTGTAATTTTTCTCTCCAAGCTTTATAAAGCATAGCCCATGTCTTATTCATCTTTGATTTCCACCCTCCACCCCTACCCTACCATAACTTTACCATGGTATTTTTAAGCTCACCGGGCTCTCAATAAATAGCTGATATTCTTGCTACTTCTGCAGCTGCAATCCTTCTACTGCTATTGCTACCTCTACATAACGGCCTTTCTATAATGGTAAAAAATGCATTAAGATAGAAAATCTTCCCAGAACCCCAAGCTCAAATACAGTATCAGTTTCAGCAAGTCCCTACCACTTCCATGCTAAATGGTAGCCTCTGGGTCCAAGCCCAAAATAGACATCATAGCACCAGAATATAATAACAAAAACACATATACACTAACAGCACAAATGACAGATCTGGCCCAGCAGGCTTCCTTGTACTCCTGGTAAGGTTTAGATAAGAGAGAAGCAAGCAGAAATTATTGAGGGCTCAAGGATATCCTCTACGTTTTGTAAAGTACGAACATGCAATGTAATGGACTCAATAACAGCAGCAGGACACAAAACTTATAAACACAGAGTTCCTAACATTACAGATGCCAATTCTCGCCTTTAGAAGTAGATGATAGACAATAGAAAAACAAATGGGACCTACAGAAATCACAAGAGCTCCACTTCCTTCCATCAAAAATAGCAACAGAAAGTATTTACTTCTTTTCTAACTTTCTTACCTAACAGATCCATCTTATTTTCCTCTATGAGGCGATTGATCAGACCATTGGCTCTTTCAATTGTGCAGACTGCAACATCCAAGGAAGAGAAATGCCTTGCTGGAGAGATGCTGCCCATATAACCGTCTACTTTTATTCCCACTTCCTGAAACAGACTCTGAATTGAGTAAAAAGAAACGATACAGGTGAAAAAACTTGAAATTCAAGAGGTATAGACAGGTTCTATCCCAGAACATAGACATAAGCATCTAAAGACATCTACCAGATTACTGTCATCAGTTGTTTCTGGCCAGGACACACTGGTTCTTTTTAGAATCATATGCCAAAAATATAAAGTTTGGAACTGGCAAAACTTAGATTTCTGTTAAGAGTCAAATAAAATTATATTATTTTAATGAAAGCATAATAATCTAAAAAGTTCTAAGAGCCATTTATAGGAATTAAAATGGGAGAAAAACTACTTTAAGCACTAACATTTTCAATCTAATAAATAGCAAGAAACTAGCTGTAACACTTGAAGAAATAAATTTATACCTCATGAGAAAAATAGTCTCATTATCCTACTAATGACCAATTTTTAAATGGAATTGGAAGAAAAGTTTTTAAAAGTAAAATTCAGTGGGACTTTTATAATAATTTTTGTTTGTTTAACTTTTAACTAACATACCTTTCAACAAAAAGGATCCTTTCATCATTTTGTTAGTTTGGGTCTAAGTTGAGAGATGTTACCATGTAGGACCAGCTTTGTTGGCTATTTGGCCTCTGAAATAACTGTTAAAAAGATTTATAGAACCACAGAAATTTAGAGTTGTTCATTCAATAAAATTTTCCCGATTGTTTGCCGAGTTAACCCACAGTGCTAAGGGTTAACATCCTAATTTTACACATGAAAAAAACTGAGGCCCAGCAGGTTAAGTGCCTGGCCTAAAGACAGTTAGTGGCAAAACTGGGACTAGAATCCACATTTCTTTAACAATCAGTATACCGATCTTTCCATTTCAAAAGCACATATTTTTTTACTGCAGAAATTAGAACAGTAAATGTATTCCTTTTAATAAAACACTGTAGTTGTGAAAATGCCCTAAAAACTGTGAGCAGCATGTTGATGTAAACTATTAGTCATTTTGGAAGAACAGAGGAACAGATCACACACCTGGATCTTTACATAAGCACCAATGGATCTTGACCTTCATCCCCTAAATATTCCTAAATGGCCCTCAATTAGGACAGAGTATGCTTCCTTTTTTTTT